TGCATCCTCTTTCGGGTTTCTTTAACATTTGGCAGGTCGGTTAACTTTAGCACGGTAAACATGTTCAAGTTCATCACTCCGTAATGGTATACGCAAGCCAAGAGTTCAAGCATTAACCTTCAATATTTGCTAACCGTTGAGTTTCAGTTACTAACATTTATGCTTCAAAATTCAGAAACATTGTTGGGGACTAGTCAATAAGTAAACATTATCTGACCCCGAACACTTGGCCAATGATCGTAAATAAAGGATGAATAAAAACTGATAAGTTAAGAACTATAATAACAAAGAAGAATAAATGCAAGAAAACAAAACTATAAACCGTGTATCTTTCTGGCTCTTGACTATTAATTCCTGATCATGTTCTAGGTTCGGAGCCCCGCTGAAAAACACAAATAAATACAAATTAAGGACTTGAATTAACGGAACTCTAACAAATGAATATAACACAAATAAAAACTAATATAAATAATATTAAATATAACCAAATAATCCACCACTATGTCAACACGAAGATCAACACGATAAATAATGCAAGTACTAACCTCTGTGGTGGATCTCATAGCAATGACAAGATACAGGGCGGGTCTACACGAGGTCACGTAATAGTAACTCAAAAACAAAATGACAAAAACGTAACCTAACTATCGATAAAATTATTGTATCTACAGGCGGTCCCTAACAACATTAATGATTGCTTACAACAATAAGCAGCTGTTAATTGAATGCAATTCCGGATTTACATCAGGAAATAATAATAATTTAAATTTGAAAGCCAGTAAAATTTCTAAGCCTTCACGCTTGATACAGCTTTGAGCACAAAATTAAGCGATAGGGTAACATGGGGCAGCGAGCCCACTGCGGGTCATGGGCCCATAGCGGGTTTCTTGCTAAGTATGGCAGATATTGGTCCGTATTCTCTACCGCCTGTCGACAGTTTCACTGGGATGAAGTGTACGGATTTACGTTTTGTTAAGTGTTTGCGTTATCAAGTTCATTGCGAATAACTGTTTTAGTCCAGATAAAAAATTTTTTGCCGCTAAATAAAGTTTTTTTCCATTACTATAGATGAAGATTTTGAAATTACTTTGAAATAGGCGTCTAATTCACATCATACATTCCTCATTAGTTGCACCTTTAAACAAAACAAAGAACCACCTCGTATCAATTAAAACTTCATCAAAAATTTAGTTTAAAAAAAGTGGGGGGCGCGCTGCCCCAGGTTGCCCTATACCGAATGCATCATCGATATTAGTGAAACGCCTATTAAAATCTAATCTTAGTATGATATCAATGCAATCAGTATAACATTTTAAACATATAATTAATTGTCTTGGTAGAGTATTTATAGCAGACGATTTGTCAGGGGTAAGAGTTGGCGAACGCTTGCTGAATTGTTAGTTATGGTAATTTTTATCACAAAGAACCAATTGTATGTTAACGTAACATTTCGTACCAAAAAATAATATTAATAAAAAACTTAGGGCATTCGCCCTAAGTTCAGAAAAGTGGCTCTCGCAGTTTTTGATGGTTTGTTTTAATGTACTGATTGAAACAAAGAACATAATAGTGCATGTGCTAAAGGCCAAGTAAAATGGGTCAAAATATTATTGTTCAACATATTGCAAGCAAAGTCTCGCTTTCACGATCACGCTCGAAAATCATCTGCATGAACTGAATTGAAGAACTTACATGCCCAATATTATGAATGGTTGTATGAAGCATTTTTACATCTTGATCTGGTTTTTCAGGAGCAAAAGCATGCAAGAGGAAAAGGTAAGCTTACTGACACCAAGATAATTTCTGGTCAAATAAGTCGCATGCAATCTAGAATAAGAATAAACAATATTTGAAACTCTCGCGTACGTTACGATTTAATTGAATAATTGTTAAGTGAACGATTCCTTTTTTCCTTTGAATAGAAACTTGTTTCAAGAAGCCACTTCGGAGCTCATGCCAAAAATTTAAATCATATGAATTTTTTTCTTGCTCTCTGCTGTGCGAGAATAAAATCGAAAAGGTTTTCTGTCATCACTAGAGCCTTCGGTAAAATTTTCCGCCTGTCAGATACCCATTGAATTGGGTTTTCAGTCATTTCAAGATCCATTTAATTAAGAACCCACAGTGAATGGTCACAAAATCAAGGAGCGAGTTATTTATGTGATTTATAAAAAGTTTTGTTTAAATATTTAAATATTTTAAAGTATAATATTTAATGCACAACATGATTTGAATTAATAATTTTATCTATTAGACCTCATGAAAGAAAAATTTACTATCGCTTATCAGTTTATCAGGAATCAGTTTTAAAATATTTATGTACTGATTTCTTACTTGTATAAATTTTACTTGTTCGGATATCCGTGCTACATTGTCCATAGCATCGATGCCATGGACATATCAATCTACAGTGACATAACAAGAATGTGTTTTAATTATTTTGCTTTTGCCCCAATTCAATTTATTTAAATCTTCCATCTGGTCTACCTGATCCTGCCGATGATAATGTTCAACTTGGGGGACACCAAAGAAAACAACACCTAAACTGAGATCTGGATCTTATTTTCCAGGCATCATTGTTGGACAATATTCTAGTCCTTTATAAAATATTTTAAATATGTTTCTTCAAGATATACAATTCAAGATTGATAACACTATTGCCCGGTGATTTTTTAAACCTTAAGATGATAAAATATCGAGTTTTCATTCTAAACATCGACCTCCGCTCAAACGAATCTTACATAAAATTTGAGTCTATTTCATTTGCAAAAACAGAACGATAAATACACAAGCTTATTAAAAATTAAAAATGCTCTATGAAGACGCCAACTTGCTTGTTGGCGTCGGTCGCGTGGCAAGGACTCGTGTGGTCAGATACGCTGTCGCGATTAAGCTTTCTATCATAACCAGAGAAATGAATGTGTTTTCTTTCTTACCCTCACTACAAGCAGAGTGCGGACGTAGCACTGATACGCCCTGTTGCCGCATCAAACTTGGTTATAATGACCAAAATGAAGACTGAAAGTGTTTCGCCTTTAGGACAATACTAACTCATTTGTCCTGAGTGAACCTAACATGTATACTGCTCGATCGTCTGGCAGCGTAAATGACTTTCTTATTTCTTGACAGATGCATTGTATCATGTGCATTATTTCTCGTGTATTTCACGCATTCCATGTATTTAAGTGCGATAATTTATACATTTATTCGGAAAATTGTTATCTTACAACACCTATATTTCTGAATATCTCACTCGACCAGGATATCTAAGCCTCTTGAACTTTCTCAATTTGTTGTCAAATATATTTATTGACGAGGTCTGTGAGAGAATCAAAAAAGATAAAAAACGTGTCATATATGCTATATACTTGAACCCGAAAAAGAAAATTAAAACGGACGATTCCAAAAGAGGCAAGTTTAAAGCAAGCTAGCTTAACAAAATCCATACATATATGCGTGAGCTACATGAAACGTACACCAATTGCGTGAAAGACAGAAGCACAATTAAAACTCAGAGTTGCTCTTCTGACAATTAACTTTAAGTAGAAAAGATGATTGCAAAAGACTGCGTTGACGGAGATGAACAATGTTGTTCAGTTCGCATACACCAACAGGGCTGCTGTAATTGTTTCTTACACTCCTAGGTTTAAGAGTAGAAAACGGGGAAATGTTTTGCGTGTGATGATTATTACAAAATTATCTTCGAGTAAGTAGTAACGTGAGTGTGACTAGATAGAACTTGTGGTTGGGTATAAGTTATAACTAAACAAATTTTGCTATGCAAACAATGAATCAACATCGGTTGTTTCAGGAACTCAAACAATCCTCAACCATTTTATCCTATATTTCATGAGCGAAATGTCGTTCGTTAACATGTCATGAAATCCAGTATTTATACGAGTGATCTAAAACATTAATAGGAAAACCATGTGTTATAAGTGTGATGAATGTCGCTCTTTGGTCGAAGGATAGTTCGGAATCAAAACTCGTCGATGTTTCGGTTTCTGAAAACAATGAATAAACAATTTAACACAAAGGGTAGGGTAATTTCTAATTTGAATTATGTAAAATATATAAGAACATCATCGAGGGGTAAACTATAACTGAAAACGTACCAAATAGCTATAAAATATAGGGCAAGTTTTGTTTACCGACTGATTTTTGTCTAAGCTCATCAGCTGCAGTCCTATCCTTCGTGTTACAGGACCAAGTCTTATGTACAAGGTATATGCTACATAACAAAAAATGTTTACAATAAGCATATTATCATATATAATATAATATCAATTATAAGTTACAACCGGTTGTATTTTGATTCTAGTTTTTACAGGTTCGCGACTATAATTTATAGTTTCATGTGTAATTCACTGCGAATTGCTGACATCATGAACGATTTAAATTGCATGTGTAACTCATAAAAATACACAGAAACCGTCGCCGAATATTTGTTCATCTATCTATCTATGTCGCTTCAAGGAGTCACTGAGGAATTATTAATGTTTACATTTCATTCGATAGCCTATATTAACTAGTTTTTTACGCATTTTTAATCGTATTTTGAACAATAGATTTAGAGATCATTTGATAGTATAATGATTGTTCTTTCCGAAGACATTTTTATTGCAAGGTAATGTACATCTAAATCAAATAAAAATCGCGATAGTGTCTTAGTGGATGCAAATGCGTCGCATATGACAGCTAATAATAACTTGGTAAGTGCTGTTTAGGTGCGTCCAGCTTATCGTGAGCCTACCGTCACACCACAAGTTTTTACGACTGAGCGGACTCGTGTCGGCGCTGAAGCGACCTTCACAAACATGTCGTCACAGGGATATTTATATACATTGATCGGTTTTGAGAGGGGAGACTCTCATAAGTTCTTGCTGCAGTGCGTAGGGATTGAGAAGAATGGAAGGAGAGGGGGTGTGTTCAGTGAGGAGCTGACTCTAGGGGGCTGCATTGTTTGAACTTGGGGTGCCGGACTACAGTGGACTGAATCACTGCATCTCTGAAGTCTCCTTAGTGTTGCCTCGTACGTTGCGGTGTTGTGTGCGCGTGCTGCTCCTGTCTCGCGCTGCTCCGCTTTGCAGAGAAGTGATCCTTCTGGCGAAGTAGGTTGAGAGAGCAGTCCAAAAAAAAAACGAAGTAGACGTCCTCTGGGTGGTTGACTGTACTGCATTTCAAGATTGTTTACAGAAAGAGCAGCATCAATAAAAATGTACAGTAGATCCATCCAGGAATAGTCGCGCAGTTGCAGGAAAGGCCGTCGGTTTATTGCATAAATGATTACGGATTTTCTTATCATAACGGCCGACCATCACGAAGTTCACAAACCACAGTTTACGTGGGGAACATCTTGGTCGGGAATCATTTTTTCTCCACGAGGAGATCCGAGGCATTTGAGAAGAATAGTAACTGTAAATGTTCAATTGTGTTTTTAAAGTTGTTTCCTGATGATGATTCAATTCACTCAGCAAATTTTTTATAATTAGTACGGCTGTACGGGTAATAATGACGTTCCTGTTACCAAAATTTCAAACTTTAGCATCAAATTATAACTTCGGGAAGATTTTTCGGTGCCCTACAACCGAGCTGCTGTCCCTGAGTTTTTTGCCCCAAGTTTGAGTGGAGCTCAAGAACGTTGAAACTTGAAGTCCATTGTCAGGCCAGTTATTGTTCGTGACACACAGAGGGTTTTTCTGCTGGATGAGAAAAAATTGTTTGCGGTCTGACCTTGAAAAACTCATTACTTCAGTCGGCATGGATACAATGGATTACAGGTCAAGAAGAACTAAGTCTAGTGAGTACTCATGGCTAATTTAGGATTTCGTAATCCTAGATAAAAGTTTATTATTTTTTATTGCGCGACACTTTAACTTACCTTAGCATGTGATGGCCAGAACAGAAGCCATTGAGAAGCCAATAACACCTGAGTCGCTCTACAATTCATCAGTTGGTAGGTAGAAATGCTAGAAGTAACTAATTAATAGATTGATCCTAATTTCCTAGTTTCTAGTACGATTTTAAAATTTTAGACATTTCAATAATGTTTTTTTAATACATTTTTTTGTATGTTTTATGTAGTTTTTAATTATTATGAGTCGAATTGCTGGGAGAGGCGACTCTTGTGTCATTGACGGAAGAGCAGTGCCTTGGCTTCTTCGCTCACCAACTCGCGGGAAACTATTCCAAGAACGAAAGCAAAATTGGTCTATCACTCTTACTAGGCAATGCCGCCCCTGAAAGCATCTCACCTTGAAATCCCGTGTTGTCGTATTCAAGGTCACCTGGTAATGCCAGAGTTGAGGTTTGATGTTGACGCGTAAAGGCACGTCTCAACCGAACGAGGAAAAATTTTAACTTAATTAACAGGTTTTATTATTTTATCTGACCAAATTAAGAAACAATAATAATGTAAACTGTGTCAGATTCAGTCTTGTTCCTCTATATGTTCAAAGTAGGTCGCCAGCTAGTGAGCCGCAGTCAGAGTTTTGGCGGGAAAGACAATCGCGACTCCTTCCTCACATAGATTTTAAAGGTCAAATGCGATGCTTTGCTACATCGAGGCTAAATGTTCAAAAAGTTTATTTGTAAGATTCATGTTACTGATTTCATAGATTCTTGGATATGAATTGAGTATCTATAGTGAATTCTTATGTTTTTCGACATGGCTAAAAAGGGAAGTGGCCTCGCTCTTGGTTTTGTATGGTCCAACACGACCTTGGACTATGAGTTGGTTATTGGCTTGGACACTTTTTCAAGCTCCAGCGTTTTAGATAACATCTGTTTTTTTAGATGCCAGTGCCATGATCATGGTATGAAGGCCTCTACTTCTTTAAGTTATTGGCAAAATGACACTGTTTGCATTATGCTTGTTAATGAAACTTCTGTCAATACTCAAGTTCACGTCATCAATCTCACGTGTGAAGGTAATTTTTTTTTAAATACATAGAGAACAGACAGACTTCACCGTGTCTAGGTAACAGAAGTTTGAATTTTTAATGATTGATTGGTACTAATTTAAATCGAGATTTTTGAGGTGAATTTCGATTGTTCAAAAAAATTGCCCTTTGAGAGATTTAGATTTGAAATGAGTCTCCAAGCAATATGTTAGACTAATAAGGGCTAGAAACAATCATCAGATAACCAAAGAAGCGACAATGTCAAAGGTGTTCCAGACTCCAGTTTCGTAGTACTCGTCTTTAATTAAGAACGGGTAAAAGGGATAAATGTCAGGGATTTGGGTAGGGAAACTGTAAAACAATGCATCTTCAAATAAGGGATTCAGATGATTTAATGAAGTTCAAGTTAAAAATACTTTAAAGAGCTATTTGACTCATTCAAATTCAAGTTGATTTCGCAAACCTAACGACTGCAAATATGTCGTCTCCGGGAGAGGGGGATTACTACGGAAAAATACTACGGAAGTTTTGTGATGGATGGATGACAAATTATCTGCATGGTAATGGCGGAAATATCACCGAGGTTTCTCCGTGTCATGCACGTATGACACTGTTGACATTTTTATGAATGAACGAATCTTCAGTGATCCTTCATCGTGATATAAGTGAATAAATGTGAGGTTTCCTAAGTATCTACACAAAAAATCTCCGTGTTAACATTCGTAACGGTATCGAACAAATTCTTAATAATATATTTATAATCTCATACTGATTCAACATTTCATCACAAGCGAGTTGATCTCATTTTAAGCAATTTGATTTCGTTTCTTTGGTTTGATTGCGATTCACGAATTGAATCTTATTGTGCCAAAAAATAACAGTAAACCATTTCAATCGTAAGATATTGACAAGTGATATGACTATTCTTGTCTAAACAGTTGAGTTAAAACATCTTTTGAATTAAAACGATCGAAGGTCATGTTTCCTCTGATCTGAGATTTTTATGAAAATCTCAAATTTCTTGTCTTAGACTGCAAGTAATCCGTCGCTCGAGAGGCATTCTAGAGCCACTGCAGCTCACAGCACTGACGTCACATCGCGTGAAAAACTTGAAGGCCACCTATCTGAGACACGGCTTGTTGCCTGGTATGTCAGCTAACTGCACGGCTCGTTGCCTGAGTTGTCATCTCACTGCACGGCTCGTTGCCTGAGTTGTCATCTCAGTGCATGGCTCGTTGCCTGAGTTGTCAGCTAACTGCACGGCTCGTTGCCTGGTATGTCAGCTAACTGCACGGCTCGTTGCCTGAGTTGTCATCTCAGTGCATGGCTCGTTGCCTGAGTTGTCAGCTAACTGCACGGCTCGTTGCCTGATATGTCANACAGTAACTGCACTGCTCGTTGCCTGAGTTGTCATCTCACTGCACGGCTCGTTGCCTCTGTTGTCATCTAACTGCACGGCTCGTTGCCTCAGTTGTCATCTCACTGCACGGCTCGTTGCCTGAGTTGTCAACAAATTGCGATCATCACAATTCTTGCAGCCTTCCGAAGACAGAAAATTTAAGAATGGTCATACGATCATATGTATGTAGGAGGCCGCATTCTGATTTGCTGTAAGACATTCAGCCATCACAGCTGCCATAGCTATTGTAAGACAATCTGGCTAGGGCGCGGCTTGAGTGGCTCTTCGATGATCAATAAGGACTCATATCGAGTCATGTAGAATATAATTTACGATGTCCCTGTAGCTGCGTACACGCATCTCGACACCAGAGAAGCTACTGGGGCGATCAAGTTGTGATGTTCAGGAAGAATTAACCGTAAACAAGAACTTATTGAGAAAAGATTTCTCGCAGAGGAGGCGTTGCACTTCATGTTCTTATTTCTAATACAAGCTCAGAAGAGCGGTGGTTTACACTGTGGGTTGTGCACAAATGACAAGAATATTTTAATCGTCGTCTGTCGCATTTGTACGCAGAAATTACATTTATATGTACTGAGCCATTATCTAAAATATTCAACAGACTTAATTTTCAATATTTTACTGGTAAAAACTAAAATGGGTAATTAGAACGTGAGAAATAAAGATGTTGCAACACACTCTCGTTTATGTAGATACGCATCTGGAATATTTAGCGTTTTTTATGTTTGCATTCTGGAATGACGTGTTCCTTAATAAGTAATAATACACTTTTGATATAACGTTTACTATTTAAGTATTAATTTCTTACTGTACCTATTTTACAAATGATATATATATATGACAAATAAATTATAAATAAGCAGTAACAAGAAATCAAGTATAAAAGATTTTCTGTAATTATTTGAACGACATTCGAAATACATCGGAGTTTGTTTTAATATTCTATGAATGAAACATTTTCACCTGGATTATAATTAGAGTATATAATTACTGCATGTTGAATTTGCTGCACTGTTTGAATAAATTTTTCCATGCGATTGCATTTTGAAGAAAACATTGGTCTACGAAATAGTATTATAAAAAAATTATTATGACGATGCCAGAAGCAGATAAAATATCTGCTGATACCCATCTAAGTACAGTTACCCTTTGACGGTACTTAGACGTTAAATAAACGCCACAAGGACTTCATCTCATGCCTTGAAACCCCCAGCGAATTTTCGGACTTGCCAACAAAATTCATTTTGCTCGGCGCTACTAAATCGGGAAGCGTTATTCGACCTCCTGCCCTGCATTGTCACCCTCCCTCCCTCCACGGAATCCTGATCACGGCAGTGAATGGTGCGACGCGTCAGATTCCCAGGCAATATAGGGAGCGTTATTGTCGAGGTGCAGGACTGCGCTTCCGTGTGATGTGGCCTTCCGAGCTACACGGGCTCCCGCGCGCTGCACCGCTGCTGCCTCTGCTGTTATATCGTATCCAGCGATGTCGCAAGCTGAGCCGTCCTTGCCGCCCCTATCCACTGAAAAAGCTCGTCATTCTTCACTTCATCTTTCAATTTGTCCATTCTTATATCTAATAATTACTTCTATGATAGACTGCAGGGATTCAATCAACCATTAAAACTGAATCTATTTGGAAGTTCTTCCTTATTATGTTCTCCTTGATTTTGGTTGTCGACTACAGTTAGTACGTGGAGTAAAAATTTTTTTTGTACCACTAAAGGTTACAGAAACAAATCTGTAACGGGAAGGGAGATGATAATTTCTTATATTGTGAGAGAAAGAAATAACGTATCTAACCAAATCTTATAACTGGGACCCAGTTACCTACTAACTCATTTCTTTCAGAAGTCCATCAAAATTTTTGAACGCCGCCCACGAAGATTCAAGCTCCGCAAGAGTTTTTTTCTTCACGAAGAAATTCGCAAAAAAAAAAAAACGTTCAAATAATTTATATTGGAAAAAAACTATTTTGCCTTGAATGTCAGTGTGCACTTATCCCGAACTAATTCCAGTGCCTAGTCCGCAACAGTGCCAATTAAACATTATCTATTTGCTCTAGTGAATGAAATAGAGCGAGATTAAGATCATTCCGCTACGCGATTCAAATTGTGTTAATTCCTCTCACAAGAATTGAGTCAGCTGCGGTTACAGGCACACAACTCTAAGTAATAAAGCTATCCAGAAATCATGGTGGGTGGTAAAGGGAATTTTACTGGGAACTCGCTACTCGGCCAGCAACATATACTCGTATTCCGTGGCGTAGTTAGAGGAGTCCAAAACGGACGGAGGCTGGAAACTGGTCTATGATCAAGGACATAGAAACGTGAAATCCTTATCGCAGCGGTTTATAACAATTACTTGAAACAAAGGAAGATATCTTATGACATCAGACAACTAATGGCAAGAAAGTCAACATTAGAAGCACGAGAGATTTTACAGTGTTCTTTATTTTTTATATAGTTGCTGCCTTCAACGCGTTTGCTTTGCCCGAGATCCTTGTCCAACTTTCCTGGGAAGTGTCAAATTTACGCGCAATATAGAAACAGAATATATAACGCATTAGACTATTTAATTAACCAGTTAGAATGACTCTGGCTAGACTAATTGCCGCTCAGTTGACCTTGTATATAAAGCGGTCCGCAGTTACAGAATTTATCGTTTGAGGTACCTTTAGGTGCCCTGTACTGTCCTGAATTTTTATTGCACCACACAGAATTCAGTGCGGATAATAGTGTTTTTTAAATAATAATAAGTTATGCAGAACATCTGTGAATGAAGTATTTTCGGTTTTCCTCGAAACTGCAATTTAAGGTTTTTAATTGGAGAAGAATAAGGTGAACGTTCTTATTTTAATTGAGTACCTACTAAATTACTAATCTTATAAGTATTTTGATAATAAAGCTATCAGTAATTCAATACTCAACTATTAAGAGCGCTAGAAATCTAGGGCTATTATCCTTTTACCTCTAACCCTTTTTAGCGCATTTTCTCATTTATGGAAAAAATGCACTATTGTGCTCGTCATGTCCGTCTGTCTGTCTGTCCGTCCGTCTGTCCGTCCGTCCGTGACCTCAAGTTTTCGTCGACGAGAAAATGCGCTCTCTGTCACTCACTGCAGTGAGTACTGAGTTATATTTTTTGTCGATGCGCCTGAAATTTACCTTTGTCAATTCAGTTATTCTCTGCAACACTGAAACATGAGTTCTTGACACTGTTTTACAACAGAATGATTCATATTTTTTCTTGCGTTGCCCACTCAAACTGCATTCTCATTCATATGCATTCTCAGAATGCATCGGAAAAATGCATTGAATGATTGTGTTGAATACTGAACTTACTAACTTGTTGAAGAGAATAATTAACATTTCAATTAAATTGAGTTATGCGAGTATTCTTAAAAAATATTCGAGCGAGATTTTCTTATGTCGAGGACATTTCACGACGAAATTTTTCTACAAAAGGTTCAAATTTTCTTCCCTGTTGTTATGGTACTACTTTGGTCATAGTCATTTAATGGGTATTAATTATAAGTACAATGTTTACCTATATAGTTGCGTATTATGTTTTCTGGAAAATTCCCTGTTACAAGGTCAGCCCTAATTACGGAGCTTAAAATAACATTAAATACTTTTGTGTGCCCTAGAATTCTAATCGTTGTCATTTGATGGCGTTGATAAGTCAAGCAGAGCGAATAGGTTTTTTTTTGTGCGTGCGGCCTTCAGTGCAGATTGTGTTACAATAATAAATGAAGCAAGCTTACCCGTCGTGCAACACGTATCAATGATGACATTTGACCTCCTAATGCAGCCAAGTCAAGTGATGTAATCTTCCTCAGTTCAAGGCCCTTCAGTCTCTGCAATAACTGTTACTTATCTTATGCTTGAACGCAGAGCATTTTGAACGATTGCCTTCCTTCAACTTGTTGAACTTGGCGCTCTTTATGTACATAGTCAACTGTCAATTTTCATTTGCATTTCGCATACCATCACACCGAGTATTTTTATCGCATTCTTAGACGTCTTCTGCCAACGCCGTCAGCTTAACATATGGTCTTTGCACTAGCTATAAAACAGCCGCGCGAAGACTCGCACAATGGGAGCATAAGGCTGATGATGACAACCTTGACGCAAAATGTGGCATGTAGGATTGCCGTCTCGTCACCAGGGCTCTTAAGCCAAATGTCACCGCTGGCTTCAGAAGCAAGTTCGTAGATTTAAGGATTACGAGTGACGTACCTAGTAACGTACTCGCTGCTCGTATATAGAGCCATAATTATTTTGCACCAATTTCACAGGCAAATTGGAACAAAACTTAACATTGTGGCACTATGAGATACACGAATAAGGTCATGAAGTAAACTTAAGCCAGGCTTGTTGAAAATACAATGCATAGTTGAATTTACTTGTGAAATTCGAAAAGAAATGGGAATTACCCATTATTTCGCTCGCCCTGTTCCGTTTTCGTTATTTATTAAGTAAGTGTTTTGGTTAGCTTCATGTCGCCAAGATAGTTTGCTTAAAATCCGTAAATTAATAAATTCGAAGGCACATGTAGGATTTATACAACGGACATAGGCGTACATACGTGCTCCGGCTATTGATACAGTTTGGGATAGATAGACTTTTCCTCAGGCTTTGCATTGCTGTCACCCACTCATATTCTCTTACGTATCTATTAATCACGTTGTATTGCAGGTTCACAAGCGGCAACCACACGCGTCGTACTTCTGACGGTCTTGGCACTTCAGCTGCCGGGCAGCCTGTGTCACTCACGCCCTTTGATAGACCCCGATGTGATGACTCAGGGCACTCACCCTCAGCTCACGCTCCTCTATCACCCTAAGTTCACAACCCTCATCACGCTGGCAGGTATCCCGGCGCCGCAGGGCACCGACTTCGAGGGGCCCGATCCTGGCCTCAATGCTGCGATAATATGTGAGGGCTTTTCTGAAAAAAATTCATTTGTTTATTCATTAGTGTATTCCTGATGTAGGTATATAGGGTGCTCATCGATTTCAGACGAGAGGTTCCAGTATTATATTGTCATTATTTTAGAGTGATTACTGTACTTGCTTTTCTCATTATGTTGAAAGGCCTATACCCATGTATAGACCCTTTAAAATTTTTCCAACATTTTGTAAAACTATTTCCAGCGAATGTCTACAGTTAAAATAGGTTATCGTTACAAATTTGGTCTGTAAACTTCATCCGATTCCAACGAGTATAGGTATCGTGTATATCGTGCCAAAGAAAGACTCAATTGCGTTCAGGGCTATTACCGATAGTTTGGTGCACACAAATTTTTGTGTCAATAACCCAACCTATTAATGACAAACCTCTCTGACTTTCAAAGAGGCCAAAAGATTGGCCCTCGTATGGCAGGTGCTAGTGTGACAGGAACTTCCCGAATGCTTGACGTTTCTAGTACTGTCTCAAAAGTAATGACTGCTGTTGAAAGAGATGGAAAACGTCTTCAGCAAAGCACAGGTCTGGCCGAAATGTTGAAATTGTCTGAGAGAGACCTTTGGAAGTACCTAAATTAAATGGTGAGGGACAATCGAAAGACCACGGCTGTTAAAATTACTGCAGACCTCAATATACGCATACAAAACCAAGATTCCATAAAGACTGTCCCCCGAGAGCTGCACAGATTTGGACTCTATAAAAGAGCTGCAATTAGAAAACCTCTGGTTTCAAATACAAATGCATCAGAGCATTATGAGTGGTGTAAAAACCTCCAAAATTGGTCCCTCGAGCAGTGAAAAAATGAAATTTCTGACGAATAATTGTTCACCTCATTTCCAAACTCTGGCCGAGTTTAAGTTTGAAGACAGCCAGAGGAGTTATTTAATCCCGACTGCCTCCTCCCAACCGTAAAACATGGCGGGGGATCTGTGATGATCCGGGGTGCTATTTCTTGGAAATCCGGCGAACCAATAATTTCTCTTCATTCAAGAATCAGCAGCCGTGACTATTTAGGAATTTGGAGGGCAAAGTTCATCCAATGGTTCAAGCACTGTTTCCGTGGGGAACGCCGGATTTCAAGATGATAATGCTCCGATCCATATAGCTGAAATTGTTAAAAAATGGCACGCGGAACATTCTTATGAAATTGAGCATCTCATTTGGCCACCACAATCACCAGACCTGAATATTATTGAGCATTTATTTTCGATTGTAGAGATGCAGGTCAGAAGTCGATTCCTGCCGACATCGCCTTTCAAAGAGCTGGAGGAAGTTTTAACTGAAGAACAGGTTTAAATTCTTTTGGAAGCAATTCGCAATTTGTATGAATACCTTGGAGAATTGAGGCTGTAATTGCCGCAGGAGGTGGATCTATACCAAACTAAACTAGGAGGTATATTTTGTGGATTTCTCAGGGGTTTCCTTCATTTTGTCTTTGTATATACCTACTCTGAGTTCGGACAGAACAGGTTCAATTGTAATATGACCGAAGTTGGGTTTCAGCTCCAAAAATGATAAAAAAACGCCAATCGTTTAATTTGTATTGAAAATGCAATATTTATCTTTCACTGCCAAGCAATCCATAACTGACAAAGGTCATTAATATCTATTTAACGATACTCAACTTTTTACCTGATTTCTTCTTGCAGAGGATCACATTCACATAAGCGTTGACGAATGTCATCTAAATTCATGCAATCATAACAAATAACTCCCTCAAATCCTAATAATAGGGAATATTGTATTATTTTTCTAGCAATATTTTTCTTTTTAAAATACTGCGACATCATAAGGTAACTTCAATTTGAGCAAGAATATGAGGTTCAAATGATTTACCTACGTGACGATGTCTTAACCGCGTGTGTTCTTCAGCCGCCCCCGACGTGTGCCCCAACCAATATATGAGAGACGCTGGGGGCCGCTGCAGACCGGCCTTCACTTACGGCCCTAACCCTCTCTCGACCTTCTCACCTGAGAAGTACAAAGGGTCTATTCAGTTCTACATGGGACTACAGGTCAGTTGGTGGAGGTCTCTCTAGGTTTGTTTCCAGGGTCCCACGATTCCTAGATTTAATTTGAAATGAATAAAACGTATTGCAAGATGGTTTTTAATTTTGACCATTTGTGGAGGCGAAAAGAAGAGTTACTCAGACCAAATACCTATATAAGTTCGTGTTTCTTATGTAGAGCCACTAGTGTTTCATCCAGGATGATATTGTTGTACTTGGAGGAAATTTTATGTGTAATAACACGGAAGGCCGTTCATACGATTATTGAGCATGTATTTTTCTCACGGGGCCAGTCTTTTCTTTGTTGGTTGGCATTGTAGCGTCGACGCTGACGAATACCGATATTAACGTGGGCTCTAATATTCCAAACACTTTTGAAGTGTCAAAAATCGAAAGATAGAAGAAAGCAGGACAAAATATTAAGTCTTTCTCAAAAGTCTTGCATTCTCAAAAAAGGAGTTCTCAAAAGCCTTTCATTCTCAAAAAAAGACTTCTCAGAAGTCTTTCATTCTCAAAAAAGACTTCTCAGAAGTCTTTCATTCTCAAAAAAAGACTTCTCAAAAGCCTTTCAATATTTCCTATTGCCTCGTTTCAGGTGGGTCGACCCACGCAATTAAACAGAAGACGTAACCCCCAGCGCCAACGCAATGGTGCAGCAGCTGGATCCAGGCGTCAGGGTCGACTGAACTTCCCCCTGCGCAGTCCAGCACCAGAGACTGCAGCAACTACCACCACAGTTGCTCCTCTAGACCATCTCTTGGACCAGGAGCTATTGCAAGAAATTCCTGAGGTGCCGCTTCCAAGCACCGAGAACGAGTCTAGTTCAGCTCTACCGACACCACCGCCATTAACTAACACTGTTGCAGAAATTACAGCCATACTTGCTAAGCTAAATGATGAAAAATCTTCCTCAGACTCTCAAACTATAGATGACGATGATGATTAGTGCTATACAATTCTCTAGGACGTATTTATTCTCAAATTATGTAAATAGACATCAGTGTACAAAAGATTTATGACCGGCCACAGCTCCGGTATTGTCTGCAGTTGAAATGCTTGATAAGGATAGCAGGACCAAATCTGCATTTTTTCCCTGCAGGACAAGTACTATTTGTCGACTACATTTTTATGAAGCCATAAACCTCCAAGTGCGTTAATTAATGCTGCGGTTCGAGCGGTTAGTTACCAGCTTCACTTCTATTGTTTTTTACCGCAGCACGAAATGTGACGTTTTGTGTAACGCGTATTATCAGGATTGCTAAGCTGGTACAAATACATGACCATTCAAGGCCTGATCATGGATTAAGAGCCAGATCAATTTGAATCCTTGTATGCTTCGAGAGACTTCGTGCGAAGAGGTATCTTGGATTGCCAGGCAATGCACGGAATGGACAAGACCGTCGTGCCGCATGGCCTCTTTCATTATGAACGATTTATCTTCCCTCTCGAAGGTTTCCAGAATTGTATCTGAGAATTCTTTAGGGTAAGCTCTAGATCTAAAGTTGTGTTATCGCCCGTATCGTTACCTGGTATCATGGTAACGATATTTCGGCTTGATAATAGACCAACGACCGAACTAAATTTCCAACAATAGTTACTTAGAGAAATGGTTTTCCTACGGTCGATTACATCCATATATTTTGTTCACACAATGGTACCTCGAGACCTCAAAAATAGCAGACTTACTAATAGCAGACTTACTAATAGCAGACTGAATAACGCAGCATACTTATGCTAAATAGTATTCGATGAGCGAAAAAGAGAAAAATTTGCTAACGTGAGTCGTGCGAGTCATCTGAACTTCAGAATCTCCGTCGAATTCTGTTTTATGGTGTCATTAAAATTTTGAATTGACTTCAGGTTATGACGTGTTTTGACAATGATGAGGCTGAGCATCCGCATCTTGAGTCTTACTAATAAAAAAACTGGAGAACAGGAGTAATATTATCTCATTCTCATCATGGTGACGCGACAACACGAGAATTCGATCACAACGGTACACACCAAACGCGGTTCCATAGGTTTCGATTGAAAGAAATCTGAAAACGTTTATATTTTTAAATTTCCTTCAAACCTTTTAATTCATCTTAGCAATGCACAAGTGGTATTTTTTAATAATTATAAACAAATCTTTTTGTACGATGAATGATTTTTCGAAGCCATGAACTCCAACATCGGACTAGGAAGATAGCACTCTAGCACGACACCTTACCAGCTCGGCTTAAGATGTGCGGGATTGAAGCCATAAAACCCAATCAGTGTAATAACTTGAAATTACTTGCATCTAATCCTAATGGGCCAAACGACACACTAAACTCACATCATAGCTGTATCACGCACAGGCTTCTTGCCGTGCAGGTTACGCCCGGCAAACTGGTGTGAAAAACTATCCATCTCTCGTCGACCCACATTTATACGTAGAAGTCTATTCGCTTACATAAAGTTAGTCTGTAAGCCATAGCGAACGCATCAAATTAAAAAGGAAGCTACGTTCATGCTACGCCATCAAAATTGCCTTACGAATTACTAGCGATTATTACGATAGCTATAGTTGTAGACTTGGATAACGAGGACGAAGAAAACAGCTATGGTCATTGAAGAAAATATACTCAAAGCTGGCGGAATGCCTGCTCGCCGCCGCGACGCTCAGTGAAACAAACGAGATGACGGTGCTTATTATGGTTTTTATTAACGGAAAAGCAGTCCATAAAAAGTATGTACTTTCATCTCGTTGACATAATTCTTTCCACAGCTTTGGAAGATGTTAGTGAGAATAACAAGGACTAATAAATTATTAATAAAAAGACTGACCATAATAGCAGGTACTTGACACAGTTTGGTGCCACGCGCACTTCAATAGGCGGCCCAAAATCAAAAGCTTTGTCGCCCAATCAAGGCATAAACACCGTACGTCTTAAATTTTCAACTAAGAAAAAAGTTACGATGAAACAAGGAACCAACACGGCATTACAACTCTAAAATTACAGTCACATTGACAAAATAAGCGTCCGTAGCATTCCCGGAACTGAAAAAAAAATTTTAATTGAGAGATGATTGATCTGCTTCTCATGCGGGATTTAATTTTAAAACGATAAGTAGTAATAGGATGAAACAGAGGCATCGTGTATCACACGAGCTGCCGCCTCGCGACTCGAAGCGATACACACGCACAACGAATTTCACCCAAGAGAATTTAAGGTTAGTGCAAAGATAAAAATCACCCAAAATCCATAGTGAGTTCTGACTTGAAGAATAAAACGAACAACTTTTAAAATGATTGGTGTTCACAAGGCGAGCATTAACGAAGCAATACTCTTCCAATGATTACACATAAAGCTCAAAATAGCATAAAAAACATGCGCGTACACAACACTCGATCGATTCTGTATAAGAGTAACTCTCAAGAAAAGTGGTTCTCTGGAATTATATCCAAAGAGAAAGAAGGAGAGTGCGACATAATATGCGCTAGACACGCTTGAAAAATCTATAGAATAAACTCTTGATTTCTCTCTCAAACGTCAACAAGCAGATAATGACTGCGAGGCTCCATCGTTCGAGCTCGACAAGGGGCACACTAACTCGCAATAAAATTTATAGGAAATAACAGTTATTATTAAGCACGGCACAAAATCAACACTCAACAACGTCCGGCGCATTACATCATCAACATTCTCTAAGCTCTGTTGCAGACCTGATCTGAACAGGGATTGCATTCATTTTAGATCACTGAGCTAGTCTCGCAATACGATAAGATATGGACGTAAGTCGTCATATTTAGACGGTAACATTGTTGAGCCGCGAGTCGAGAGAAAGCCTCGTGAAACACACGTCAATGAAGTCATCGGTTTAAGTTGTTTCTAAGCTTGCATGAAATAAGTATTCCAGACAACAAAGAGAAAAGAAAAATTTAGATTTTCACAAGCATAAAAATGTATTCGTGGTGTATCAGGAAGTAATGAGATTTTTTCAAAGAACAGACTTTTTTTCTAACACCTGGCTGGTATGCTACGAAAAAATTGAAAACCTTCAGCCCGGTTGGTCTTTGATGTGCTAGTTCCTGTATCGCATGTTTTCTCGATACAAAATAAAGTACTTAGAAAAATATTCTCAACAAATAATAATGTACATGGTAAAATAGTAAAAATATGCACGTCGTGAAATATCCAATTTAGGAAGAATCGTTGAGGTTTAGTCGGGTGATGAATAGGAATGAGAGGTCTTACCAATGCCTTTAGAGGTCTAAAAATTTGAAAAATTTTAAAATTAAAAAAAAGCCGGCCATGCCCGGTCTAGCGCAAATGAAGTTGACAGTGCTTTCAGGGGAACAAATTCGTTGTGGAAGATTATTTTTCCCAAACAAACAAAGTTGAAGGCGAGTCAATATGTTGCTCAGAAATTTTATGTTGAATCATAAACTAGGCACGAAAAAAAGAATTATTCTCATAGCTGTGTTCCTACTTCTCAATCAAAATTTTGATGTCGTAAATTAACTCCAAATTGGACTGCATGATTTTCGAGAGGTACAACGGAAACGCAACTTCATAGAAGCAGTAACAAATATACGACATCAATCAGAACACATTTAAAATCTCATAGACAAGAGGTGTAGTAACTCATTATTCCCAGATCACTTGACGTGCTGCTCACGTGACAAGACAGAAGCTCTACACGAGTTGTTTGTTATGAATGCAATAGACAGCATGTTATTCTAGCGTACACCATTTCCCAGGTGTCCAAATAGTCCGACGTTCAAAGCTAGATTACAATTAATCGAGATATTAAACAGGAACTAAACAAAAAAAGGTCTTCATGTACAAGAAGCATCAATCACGATCACCTTTAAGTAAACACTTCATTCACGTGTTGTTCACGAGTCGTCAACTGTATTCGAGGTTCAACAAAGTTAAGATTTTTGGTAGAAAGACCAACCCGTGGTCCACTCACTCGTGTCTTCTAAAGCATCGGAACTCGCGACCAAATGTAGTAAGCATCACAGCAATAATTAGACTAGACTACGCGTATATTAACAAAAACATATACTTATGACATAGCATATAAATGATTTCAAAGATAACATTTTCTGAACTGAGTTATCCTGCAGCAGGGGGCGACTATCAAAGAAACAGAACTTGTACTCCTGCTGATATAACAAAATATTTGCACGGACAGAGACAAAGTGTTAATATAATCAAGATAATTCAGCAGTATCAATGGAAGAAAAATAAAGTACAAACGTTAATCAATATAATAGGTAATAAATAAGAGTACGTATCACGCTAAATAAGCTGAGCTGCAATAGCAACATTTAACACCATAGCAACAAACCGATGATGAGCTCAAACGCTAGGGTGAGAGAGCGGCGTCGAGTCATGAAAGATGAGTGGATCCGAACTCACACGGCGGGAACACATAACAGCCAACCAACACAATCAGGATCAGAGAAGCAAACACTGCATTATAAACGGTGAATGACGCGATATACTAGGATGACAATGGCAGTAAATTCAAGGGACACTTTGTAAACATATAGGTGCTTTATCCTCCTCATTATTCTACACAAACAGAACTTAACAAACGCTGCGTTAGCTCAAGTGCAAATTTCTATGAAAACCAAGTTTCAAAAGTAAGCCTTGGCAATCACAGTTCTTGCATGCAAGCGCTATATTCAAACGATGGACAAATGGGACATAATTCAGACACACAGAGAAGCACTGCAACGCCAAGGAGAAAAACGAATTCCAATGACAAAAATGTTACTGCTAATGGCATTTCTATCGGGGATTATTTACGATAGACCTTGTGATATCGACGAGCAGCTCGTTGACGAGGCTCTAACACACCACCTGATAGGACAGTTTTCGCTTCCTCTTCTAGAAGTGCGGAGGAGACGTCGCGCTATATAAGCGCGCGATTACTATCAACTACTTGACTTATGTGCAGGATGGCCGCACTATTTTACGGGGTAAAGCGTTCCATATTGAGCAGAAGAGTTAGAGATACGCAGCCATCATGAGCCGTTGCACACTGTCTTCTCCATGTACTGTTGAAGCCGTAACATCTAAGTACCTATATATAATAATTATTTGGTAACAACGCGATCAACAAAAATTCACACTTTTAAAATACCCAGAATTGCACGAGGAGCTCATAAAGCTATCAGTGGTTCAGAAAAAGATCGTTTTGCCGCGAGCAACAGCAAACTTTAGTTTATATGATAATTGAAGCAAAAGGTAGCTCTCGTAGCCATGCACACAGCACGTATTCAGGCAGTGGCATATCTCACCAAGCACTCAGCACTGCATCACTCGCATTCCACACACTTGGCCGGACTCTGGCTAGTACCCTGAGCTGAGCGATAAGCAGCGCTAACTAAGCCACTTACGCCATCCATTTTTGTTTGATTGTGGTATAGAATATATTAAGACCTATAAACTCCAGTACAAACGCAGAAAATTCCACGCAAAATACAAACACACTTCTAGATATTTCGTTCACTAAAAACTGTCTCGAAAATGTCATAATAAATGTGAGAGCTCAATGTAAGCTGACACGTTATCAAAGATGATGAAGGCTGGAATATACCGGGAAAAATATTGCCAGACACGAGCTCGCATCACTGCCGTTCCTGTCGGAGAACTATTGTCTAGTCCCAACTGCCGGCGCCCCCTCCGTTGTTGTAGTCCCCGGGAGCAGCAGAGGGCCTGCAGTTACCAGTGGCGTAGGGCGGCGACTGGGGCATGCCACCCCCTTGAGGAGGAGGACCTTGCTGAGGCGGACTGCTCGCCTGACCATAACCACTCTGCTGGTGATCACCTCCTCCTCCTCCTCCTGCTGCTGCACCTCCCTGTTGGCTCATGTTGGCTCCTAGGAGGCCCCAGCCGGCCTGGCTCAACGCTGCCAACCATGGAGCGGCGGTCAAGGGGCCCATGTTCATATGACCACTGCCCACCCCTCCACTGCCGCCACCTACAACGTCAACACCACCGCTGCCGCTGCCTCCACTGTTACCAGCGTTTCCAAAGCCCAGAGAAGCGCCTAAGGCGGCTAAGTTAGGCATTTCTCTTCCACTACTTCCAACACCACCAGCCCAGCAACCACCGCCTCCTCCTCCTCCTCCTCCGCCACCCCAGCTTCCTTGAGAGTAGTTGCTGCCGCCGTAGGAGTTGCGGTCGTAGCGTCCACCTCCACCACTACCACGCCCGAACGGCCCGCTAGTTCTAGAGTCGTGCTTTGGGGCGGCGCTGGAGATGTGGACTGATGTGCCTCGGATGATGTGGTCCTCGCCACACAGCGCCTGAGCCACATGTGGATCCATGAACGTCACGAAGGCGAAAGCTCTGAAGGGCTTGGGGATGAAGACGTCCGTGACCTCACCGAAATTGTCGAAATAATCACGCAGGTCGGCAGCCGTGAGCTGCTCCGTGCAGCGCCCTACGAACACCTTGCTGCTCAGTGGCTGTCCACATCCATCCTGCTCAAATGATTGGCTCAGTGAATATGAAACCCGAATGAAAAATTCTCATCTAAGTACATTAACCTAATTAGAAAAATGACCATTTGAGTGCAAAATTACCTTTTGAGTTAGAAACACTGATTGAAAGTATCTATATACATATATGATTAAGCAACCCAGCATATGAAAATGAGTTAAAGAAATGCAGAAGGATACTAATTTTTAACCAAACAACCATAAATGATCTTACTTACAAATTTTGGCTGAGAATTCTTCTTTATTCTTTATAGACTTTAGAAAAATTCTTTATAGACTTTAATGCATTTTATGGCAATAAGAAGTAGGGCATAAATATTCATTAATTAATAAATTGAGTCTGGCATTTAGTGGATTGATTTGATAAAAAATTCATTCAGCAACAGCTTCAAAGTTTATAGTTTTAAATAATTTCAGAACCTCATTGAGCAGTGTTCACATATCATGTGCCAATTCCTTGGGTGAAATGTCATCCTAAAGATATTGATCAAGTACACTCCAGATGAGAAGAAGTAATAAAGTTTAAAAATAACAACATTACTAAGAAACTAGAGTATGAACAATAGCCATTTGCCTTGATAACACAGGTTAAAAAAGTGACAGACCTTAGAGTTAGGGATCTTAACATCACAAGTTCGCCCGTCAATGTTGTGTCGCTGGGCTAGCACCTGCTGCTGATGTTCATAGTTAGCAAATCTGATGAAACCAAAGCCTTTGCTCTGGCCAGTCTTCAGGTCCTTCTTTACCTTAGCGGTGAAAAGGAAATATTAGGAACAGTTGCAGCAACACAGCCAAATAGCAAGAACCTGTCATATTTTATGATATTTTCTGAAAAATGGAATAAGTCACTGAACTTATACAGGAGATTACCAAATCAAATGAGCATGTTATACATTCTTCGCTATTTAGACAAAAATCATTTGAAATGACAAATACTGTGAGATATTCTGATAATTGCAGGATGGAGGTAACATAGGAAATGCTTGCTTTCCACTTCAAAAAGTTAAAGCTGTACAGATGTTAAAAGCCGGCTTGAGTTAATGAAATAAGAAGAAGCATGTGAATGATTTTGAGGCACAAACTTTTTAACTTGAATGGTTCATGTGTTTGGTAGTGAATAGACCACACATGGTTTAACTAGTATAAGGTTACCCATGAGCAGCTCATTTATACGGATGTAGTGTGTTGTTTGCCTGTGCATCACTGATCTCAGTGAATCGCAATAATCACCAAAATGTGATCAAACCAGTCAACCAATCCGTCATGAGAATGATGGGATTGTCTGTGTTTCTTGATCTCAGTGATGTAACAAGAAAGCTGAACTGAAAGGTGGAAATCCTCAAGAATCAACCTTATATAGTTCGAGTATGAGACCACAGGTTTGCAAGCTGTACTCAGTACAGCATCATCAAGTCCATTTATTCCATTAAAAGTGAGTTGAGGAAGTATTGAAGTAAAAGTGAATGCTTTATGTAGTGTCTAAAATAATCTAAGAAAAAGTACCTGTGCCATCAGCACTTCTCCAAATGATTCAAAATATTCCCGGAGTTGTTGTTCGGTGGTCTTCCAAGGCAGGCCAAGCACAATGAGGTCAGAGCAGCGTTGGTAGCGATCCATCCTTCTACTCTTACACTGGATATCCACACGTTCTTCATGCTTCCGGTTATTCTCTGTAAAATGACTCAGTTTATTCACATAGAAAATGTTTTTAAGATTTATGGTAATAAAATGTGAAGGAGCTAAATGTATTCAAATAAGTTAAGCAACGAATAATGAGCTACCATTTTTTTAAATTTATTAAGTGCTGAATTATAGTTACAGATATCAGTCTAAAAAAAAGGAGGTCAAAAATTAATTTGACGTAAATCTTCAAAGATAATTATATATAGTCAGATGGGGTAAGACAGGACCGAAATCACTAACAAGCATGTAGCATCTATACCATGAATAAATAAAAAACCCTAAACCTATCACAAGGTGTAGTTATGCAATGGGCTTCTAAGCTACAACTCAGACTTTCTGCATACAACATAGTTTTCTGTACAGATTATCAAAAGTTGCTTATTACTTGAGGTTACATGCCTACATCCACAAAATTGCCCAAAAAAATTTTTGTCATTAGACAGAGCTTATTTCCCAAACAGGATTAACTATTTTGTGACCCTTCTTTACATAAGTTTTCTTTAAAAATTAACCAGAAATTCATTATTTGCAGAAGAGGGTTGAAACAAGCACTGAAATGACATGCAATGATTGCTCTAACATATTCTTCTATCAAATTAAATTCAGTGCAATTAGAATGCATGATATGGGCTGGTCCTTTCTTACCCCATGAAGGCTGCGATCCTGTCTTACCCCATTTGACTATACCTACATGAAGATATGAGAGAGCAAATCATTTGGTAGGGTAAATGCGGTATATTCCAACATCATGGGTAATTCCGACACTTCTCAACTTTTTTCCTTTATATTACACTTTTTCTTAGTTCCACGCATTCGTTGTTGGTTGAAATAGTGATGTCATACTCTTGCGCGCCATACTATTACCAAAACACTAAGTCTGGGCCTTCTGGCGGGAAAATGTTGAGATCCAAAGAAAGACAGTGCGCGTCACCCAGCGAGAGCATAGAAAAATGTGTCAAAGTTGATAGTTGACCTTGCTCTACCAAATAGTGATAAACTGTTTCTGTAGAAAGAATATTATGGTTTGAGACTTTTAAATAAGTCTGTGAATATATTAGGAATTCTTTAAGTATACTTGTATTTGCTGCGACCAAGTCGTAAATAAATTAATAGATGATCAAGTTAAGAGATGGTTATAGACACAAAAACTAATTCTGACACAGCTTGGAATTAGACACAGCTCATTCTAAGCTGTGTGCAAAAATTAAAATTTTCTCAATTAAAAGCTTAATAGCTCTTAATTAAAAGCCTAAATAAGTAGTGTTCAATATTCAATAGTGTTCTAATTCCAAGCTGTGTTGTATTCCAATACAGCTCACACAGCGATTGGAATTTGAACACAAGAGTGTCGAAATTACGAATTAGTAGAATTTGAAGCGCGGCTGGAATTAGTCTCAAAATGCTGAATTTAGTCACACACAGTGTCGCACTGTGTTGGAATATATGGCTTTGGTAGGTTTGCATTCTAAAGGCTTTCAAATAAATATGGCAACATTTTGTGACGTTTCATTGTTGCTGGCATGTAGTGCGGTGTTTGGAAAGTGACGTAAAGCAAACAGAACTTGAGTTGTGCGTACGGTGATTTTTTTATAGCCATTCATTTTTTGCTACGTCCTTAAAGTGTTGGAATATACCGCATTTACCCTATATACCAAACAAACTGAAATATATTAGAATCTTAAATAAATTATATCCCACAAATGCTGCATTACATGCCAATTCATCAACCAAAACAGGAATTGAGAGGGTATATATACACTTTAAACTCATGTTTATTTATATTAAACTCATGAAATAAAAATTATTACAAGTAACCATTTACAGGACTGGAACTTTTTTACTCATTACTAAAATCTCATTGCTGTAAAGTAACAAACTTTCACTGTTACTTTCACAACATCTTGAATCTCATGGCCTGATCATACATTTTGGTCAATAATAAGACATGAGGTAGCTAATTCTTTTGGCACTGGGCCACTGGCAGTCTGGCACTTGGCAGAAATCTTGCAGCTCAAAAAATAACAGGAAAGCTCTAGTGGCAGCTCAGAATGCAGATAGCTATATTCTAACCTGGAAGTCTTAAAATGTCTACAACTCTCACGCATAGTAGCATAGCAGACGCAAAGACTTCTTTGCTTTCCTTGTGAACTTGGGAAATAAGAAGATATAAATATACCTAGGGTAAACGCGGTATATTCTGACACATTAAGGACGCATCGAGAAATGAAAAACTATAAAAAAAACGTATGCGTTACGTAAGTTCTGTTGCCTAAAACAAAGCTTAATATAAAGGAAAAGCTGGAGAGGTGACAGAATTACCTACGATGTCGGAATATACCGCATTTACCCTACTCAAGTACGAACATCTTTATAATATTTAATACAGAATCACGAGACAACTGTGTATTTACTTGATATTACCTTCAACAAAGGTATAATTTTTGGGGAATACGCAGATGAAAACATTATTCCAGCCATCTTCAGGTATGTGGAACACTCCATCCAGGAGCCGAACTCCTCTGAAGGCAGAGGGATTAGAGGCACTTCGATACTTGATCCCACTGGCACCCGGGAACTGCGCCACCAAAGTTGACAGTAGCAATCCACCGTCAGCTTCAAGTGGTAACTCCATTGGTTCTTCGCTCTCATCCTCGCATACTTGAATGTAAGAACTCATTTTTGTTATCCTAAATAATTCACATGTATACAAGATTCATACGCGACCTACGCACTAACACCTACCACACACACACATTCACACTGACGATTGAACGTAAAATGGGGAAAAGTAAAAAAATTATCCCTAGGTTTAGAGGAAGATTTTTTCTAAAAACCAAATGGGATCTTGATTTGATTACATCTTTACGTACGTTTATTTTATTTCATTATTAGTTTTTCATCCATTAGACAACTCAGATGAGGTAAATGCGTTTGTTTGTCAGAACTTCATCTTGCTAATTGCTAAGTAACAGCCCATGTTGCCGAATATATGTAGTTTCTTGCTTACTGTTCAGTTTTTACCATCTCGAAATAAATAGATACTAAAATGTATTGAAATTGGTGCCAATATTACTCAGTTGAACAGAATTGCCTATTCAACATGAAATATTTATCTATAGCGCAATATTACCCTAGATCTGAAATTCCCCTGAAATAAATTCGTATCTGACGTGGTGCAAGAATGCAACCGATTGTGTATTTGTGTTGGTAGATAATTGGTATTTGGTAGTAGCCTGAAAGGCTGAACTGAGTGTAGCTGTGTAGGTACTCGGGAGTTCTGAGTACACGTTCAGGTACTGAGGCTGAAGTGGTCGGAACGATCATATCATGCATGTTCACAAATAAACCATTAATTTGCCAAGTTCAGGTGTGACAAGCACAAGTCACCTGGGCCTTTCCCAATCCAACTAAATCAGTAAATCTCGACCCAAATTGACGCCTGTGTTCATTTATTAAATTATTATATTAGGGTACAATCAAGAGTCAAGACGACTGACGACGTCATGATCATTATTGTTAAATCATTATATTTATAGCATGATTAAAAATGTTCAACTTAATAGAATTAAATACATAGATTTATTATACAAGTTTGACTCAATAAATTTGTTGAGGTACTAGTGCCACCAGCCACCTCCCACCTGCCACCAGGCTACATATTTTTGATAATCATAATGGAGGGCAAAGAACTCACTGTGTTGCCTGCCATTTTCCAACAAATGGCAGCTTTCAATTACAGCAAGGCAAAAGACATAGCGGTATGTATGTGAATCATGAATCAGAGTTTTGAAAATGTCTAAATTTCTGTGATTTTAACTTGTTTTTTCCTTTATTGATATGATATTAGGGTAAACGCGGTATATTCTGACATCGTAGGTAATTCCGGCGCGAGATAGCTTATCAGCTGAAGCGCTAGTAATCATAGGGTCACTAAACTAACTAACTCGTAGGTAATTCCGTCACCTCTCCAGCTTTTCCTTTATATTAAGCTTTGTTTTAGTTCCATGCGTTCATTGATGGTTGAAATGGTGACGTCATACATTTGCGTGTCGAAATACTGCAAAAACACTAGGTCTTGGCCATCTAGTGGCCAGACTGTAGAGCATGGCACAACATAGGTCGAGGACGCCGATTTCATGCACCAAAGACGCCGAGCAGGATGCCACTGGACGCCGGTCGCCAATTATGCTTCTCCATAAATCACGATTTACGATCGATATGGCCGATGCATTGATGGTTGAAATGGTGACGTCATACATTTGCGTGTCGAAATACTGCAAAAACACTAGGTCTTGGCCGTCTAGTGGGAAAATATTGAGATCCAAAGAGAGACAATGCATGCCACGTGGTGAGATCATCGAAAAATGTGTCAAATTTGACAGTTGACATGGCTCTACCAAATAGTGAATAACTTTTTATAGGAAGAATATTATGGTTTGAGACTTTTAAGTACACCTGTGAATATATTAGGAATCCTTTAAGTATACATGTATTCACTGATTTCAAGTCGTAAATAAATTAATAGATGATCAAGTTGAGATGTTGGATTTTGACACATGAAAACTAATTCCGACACAACTTGAATTGGACACACACAGATCGTTCAAAGCTTTGTACAAAAATTGAAATTTGCTTAATTAAAAGCCTAATAGCTGTTAATTAAAACGTAATTAAGTAGTGTTCAATATTCGTTAGTGTTCTAATTCAAAGCCGTGTTGTATCCCAATACAGCTCAGCTCACACAGCAAACGGAATTCAAACACGTGGATGTCGGCAATACATATCAGTTAAATTTGAAGCGCTGACGCAATACGACTCACCACGTGTCGGATGTTGCCACACAAAGTGACGGAATATAGGGATTTGGTAGGTTTCCATTTTTAAGGCTTTTTAATACATATGGCAACATTTTGTGACGTTTCATCGTTGCTGACGCGTAGTGAAGTGTTTTGAGAGTCATGTGAAGGCAACAGAACTTGCGTAACGCATAGTACGGTTTTTTTTATAGTTTTTCATTTTTTTATGCGTCCTTAATGTGTCGGAATATACCGCGTTTACCGTACCATGCATATCCACACATTAGGTACTGTATTATTGATGTGATATTAGTACCTACTGACTACTGTCTTGTCTCCAGTCTCCATCCCATGGACCAGTGGACATGCCATTGAGCATTGACAACAACTGCTCGTCCACTGCAATATTCATATCTGCAGGCTGCAGCCATATGGCATATAGCATTTCTTTTATATCTGTAAGCTTACTGGATGGCATGTAATTTTGCACCATTTAATTGGGTCAAGTGAATTCACAATTTCACTATAACAAAAAAAGATTGTAAAGAACATACCTGAAATAGAAAGGAATATTTTAGTGACAAGTGATTGATAAGAAAAATGTTGAAGGTTATGCCACTATTTTTTAGTTTTGAAATATTTCAATTGGTTTTGCTGCTATAACATTTTTATGCCATGGTGGAGGATTGTCCCAATATACTCTGCAGTCTGCAATCCTGCATGTGTTTTAGCTATTACTACTTATTGCCCCATTAGATAGTACACCATTCAGCTGCTTGTTCTATCAAGCTGCTCTATCTAGTACTGGTATCCACTTGGAAGAATATATTTTTTTATAATATTAATTTCTTAATAACCTATAATATTCATACATCAAATCTGTATCAAATATATTTAAGCAAATATATACATTAAATGAAGGCTGCTACACTTTGCACAAAGTTTAAATGCAAATAATGCAATTTTATCTGGAATCAATGTTGAATAACCTAGTTTTAGGTTTAAACTTAGGTTGCTGTATTAAATAATCATTCAGATTCCATGTATAGGAAAGGAGGATGTACTTAATTTAGGTCTAGCATTAAAGGCTTTTCTAGGTCTAGGATTCTAGTCTTGTAACTCTTGTTGTAGTCTATCCTACATACTGGAGGGATTTGCATTGTGCAACTACTCTAAGAAGATTTGATCTTCTAATTTAAACTAAATCTGCAGCGGCGAAAAGAGATCATGTCAGATTTATAGGAAATCTATCTGAAGAATGAAGGAGGCAAAAAATAAATTTTTTGTACTCTTAATAGTAGTGCAAAACTTATCTGGTTATTGCCTTAAAAACATATTTTAAAAACCTTAATTGTAGTGTAAACATAATGTTTTTGAGCATGGTTTTGGTCTAGTCAGGAGTTTATATTTCAACAAACACCTGCACATGTTGTCTCCTCTAGCCTTGGCTATTTTCTCTACTCTTAAGCATGATTACAAATCCTTCTAACAAATCAAGAACAGCAGAACACGTATGCTGTCTGCCATCAATCATGACTTTTATATGATCACTATTGTGCAGGAAAAAGAGCGCAGTGCTGTGTGCAGCTCTGCATCAATTATCTCCTTATGGCCTCAGTTCCTGTCTTGTCTCGCTCAACTTGCTGCTGTGGAGAAACTCTACATGAATCTGAGTCTACTGAATATTAAGGGCTTCCTCAGAAGGGAGGTGAGAACTGTTCACAATTATGGGCTTGCACACTTGAGTTTTATCAATTTTATAATTATGTAATATGCCATAGTCAGTTTTGCTGAGGTTTGTTGCATTTTTCTAATTGTTTTATTTATTACTATTTAAAAAAAATATTATTGGGCTTAGCTGTGAAAACTGAAACATTTTATTTTAAATTGCTTTTCAGTGATTCTATACAACGTGTTAAAATCCCTCAAGTTTCAATGAAGTGATGGTTCCGTCATGCTTTTGCTCAGAACAGCTTGCGTGCATCATATGAAGGACTACTGTCTGATCTCTCTGAGCTGGAAACGGGAGCATCCAATACAATGTCAGCATCTCTCCACCAGCCTGCAGGTCTGCATAATTAAATGGTCCTTTTATTTGGGCAGTGGCACCATTGTGACCCTGATCATATTGGTTTGTTATGAAATAACATACTACCGTACTCATCAAATGACTTGATTAACAACAAGCGTACCAATACTCCTATTGCAAGATAGTGCAATTCTTAACTGATGTTACTCCTCACTTAATAATCTTCTTTGGTAGGTAGCCTGTGGCTTGAGGAAAACCAGGTTGTAGGATAAGGCAAACTGTAAAGTTTTATTTCAGCTGCCTATGATCTTTAAATCAATTTAGTCAAATTTTTTATTTAATTTTTATGGAAAACTATAGAAATCTTTCTGGTGACCAGTGGATGCCAGCAATTGACTCTGGCCAATTACCTTTTTGTATATCAGCATCTGTTGTGCTACATAACTGGTGACTGATTAACACATAATTTGCTTCACAGTGATTTATGACTTCACAATGATTCCTACAGATTTATAAATAACTGCCCTTAGGTAGTTTTTTTTTTAAATAAAAGTTATATTGAAGGACTCCAAAGAGGTTGAGGTTATGAAACTTTATACCAGTTATACTGCAAAGTTAGCTATTTGTATTCATGACCTCATTTCTGAATCAGCTTCAACTGTTTCTATGCAATTATTTGACATGTATCATAAATGCATCAGCAGGCTTGGTAATGGCAAAAACTTCCATCTATTTTGGATTTTTTTTAAATATCAGAATATATGGCAAAAAGGAAGAATCTTATTCTGATACGGTCTCTCAATTCTTCATCCGTGACATTCCTATCCTCTGTAAACATGAAGCTGGATTGTATTAGCTTACAACCATTTAATTCCTCAGATGCAGCAGCAACAGGAGACGAGCCACCGCCCTCTGCTCGGTCTGCTGGAGATGGACTGCGGGAGCTCATCTGGAGCCTCAGCGCTGAGTTGCGCTCTTTCATCACCGCCAGGCTGTGCCTTATCAAATTGTAAAGCATGTTGATATTGATAAAAATATAGAAGTATTGGCTTGGGTTAGGTTATGTCTCTCCAATCTTGGTTGTTGTAACCAATCAGCCACCCTGAGCTTACATCAAATTACACCATAGCTTTTACATTACACCCTAGCTTTTCATCAAATTTAAGAAGCAATGTAAAATTATTTCATTTAGCATTCGGTTCATGTTAGTTTCAATTATTAGAGTGTGGCAAGTTTATAGGAACTTGTCTAGCAATCATGAGTGACAGACATGGCTTGTTTTTAATTGTCATTTTGCAGTACGTACTTTGTGTGTGAAAAAAATTTCATTTGTATTTGCCAAAAAGAATATAACTGAAACATTCAGCTCAAAAATTTTCAACTTCCAAATACCAAATATAAAATAAGGCTAATTATTAAAGGGACTATGGTTTATTGTCAAAATTGGGCTGCATTTAGCGAAAGAAATTATTCTTCAGTCCCTTCTACCTAGATTTTAATGACTGGGCAGGGAAGATACAATACTTTGTTCACCTCCTATTAAATTAATAAGTATCAGTAATCCATTGATGTACCAGCTGCGTTGATGAGGTGACCTTGACTGAAAATTAAGAATCTGAACCATTATCTGCCTGTTATATCAGGAGCAATTTAATTTAGCTCAAGTAATCTCTAACCTCCCTCTGCTGCAATGAGAATCATTACAAAATATTAGAATATCAACTTTTATCCCACTGTTATGTAAGAACTACTCGTGTTATCTCTTACAGCTACGAGAAATGCTACAACCACAGTTGCAGCGGCGACAACAACACTCTTGACTATGGCGACCTGGCCTCCAGCATCGCTGACATCTCCTACACCTGCCCTGATGGCTGCCGTCAACCTCTGCTTGCTGCCCTGCACGCCAACCTCAAGTCAGATGCCAGGCAAACTTTAGTGCCACTAATTGCTTCATGAAATGATGCTAACCTCAAGTCAGATGTCAGGCAAACTTTTGTGCCACCAATTGCTTCATGAAATGATGTCAACCTCAAGTCAGATGCCAGGCAAACTTTAGTGCCACCAATTGCTTCATGAAATGATACCAACTTTAGGTCATCAGTTCCTCTAACTATAGTGCAACCGATTGCGCCATGAAACTATTTTAATCACTAGAAGGATATTCAATTGCTTGTAGTAATCAATATACATGTCTGATACATTCACGTGGTTCTCTTCTATTATGTGACAGCCAGGATTCTTCATTGTGTTTGGTTCTTTCTCTAAGTCAATTATTCTTATATTCAAAATCTTCTCAAAAGGTATTGGATAAAATATTCTCGATTAGATGGGGGCTTTGAGGTTTTTAAGTTTAATGTGGCTAAATTTATTTAGTTAGATTACCGCACTAGGCTCAGCACAATACAGGGCAACAGTCTCCGATGGAACAGCCGTTGGTAATGCTTCACTTACGTTTGTGTTGAACTTCATTTTTTTTTTTTATCTGTTATGAGCAATTAAATTACTTACAGCTCGTCGTTGGTTGGATCTTAATTTATGATTTCTTTTCAAGTTAAAGTTTTTTTTGATAAATTATTTTGATTGATATTGCCAAATGACTTAGGGCCAAAAAGTGTTAAAATGTTCGTTTACACAGTTTATGGGTTAATTTATTACTGATCAAGCCTAATTTAACACTTTTTATTTCAGCAAAAAAATTTTCCTCAATGACCGACAATGCAGCAAGCTTTTGTGGACTTTTTACTTGTTTATATTATGTATTAATGCTGCTGCTGCAGGCACGAGTGCGAGGTGCTGCATAGTGTGCTGCAAGGCCTGTGCAGCATTCATGTCCTGATAATGCTGCTGCAGGCACGAGTGCGAGGTGCTGCAGAGCGTGCTGCAGGGCCTGTGCAGCATTCAGCACCACAGCTTCTTGTCCGCATTGCTGCACTTGGATGCCGCGCACGACGCGCTCGTCAACTGGCAGAAGCTCATCACCAGCAAGGAGGTCCGTGTGGATGACAGGGGCTGAGAATATGTGAACTTTGTCTTTGCGCTGGACTAAAATTTTGTTGATATTATTCATTGTTAAGACTTTGCTTGAGGAGGACCTCTTTGTCTAGAAGTGGCTAGAAAACTATATTCTGCATTCTTAAATGTTTCCTTTTTATGTCTAAGTTTTAGAGCTAAGTTTTCATTTCATTAGGGTTGATTTTCACCCCGCGTATTTTGGGTGAATTTTTAATGGAGAATCGGAACTGTGATTTAGTGTGGAGTGGTTTAGAGCCCAGTTTCTGATTATGCCTAATTAATATGATGCTCTAGACGATCTTGCTATTTCATGGTTCATTTTACCCAATGAAGATAGACATGACATTCATATGAACGTCTTAATTTTATCTCAAGATACTAATTAGACTCATCTGATGGGAAACTTATGCTATAGAGTTGGGTTTGGACAAGAAGCCTCTCTATTGATAGTAATTACAATTAAACTCGTGATTGATTGTTCATTTCTGCTCTTATATGATGTAACTAGGAGTTTCAATGTATATTTCGGCTCAAAAGGATAAAAATTGCATCAAAAATTTTGCAACTGAGTTTTGTTTGTAATTCAGAGCAAGAAGTACAGCTTTGGGTCGTCTTTGCTGAAGACCCAGACGGTGCCCCCGCTGTTCAGCTGGCTGTGGCAGGTGCGCTCCGCTGCTACAGCCAAGTTCTCCCTGTACTTCTACAACAGCCTTGCGCCGCAGACAACCCTAGGCGAGATGAAGAACTTGCTTGCCAAGCAGCCCGTCGACTACGTCGCTAAGTGAGCACTTGCTTCTTATTTAATGTTCGATAATATATCCATGCTGATGCCATGACAATATATTACTCTTGACAATATCTCAATTAAATTTATTATTTCAATTATATTATATTCAAATCACTGTCTCATCCGATCCGCACAATATATAAGCGCCCGTCGACTACGTCGCTAAGTGAGCACTTGATTCTTATTTAATGTTCGATGATATATCCATGCCGATGCCATGACCAAATGTATCTCTTACCAATATCTTTATTAAATTTGTTAACAAATTATATTCAAATCACTGTCTCATCCGATATGCACTATATATAAGCGCCCGTCGACTACGTCGCTAAGTGAGCACTCTCATCGCATTTTATGCTCGATAATATTTCAATTCTGAGGCGTGTGCGAATGGGTGCATATCGGTAGAGACACTGATTACGTTGGAAGATTATTCTTTGAATACAAAAAAAAATTATCTTCTAAAAATAGTGCGGAAATGGTGAAATAGCTAATTTATGTAAGATTTTAAGTGACCATATCCTGTTTCTAGTGCAGTTTAGTAACGGTGTGCAATAAAAAAATGCATATTTCCTTATAGATACTGGACAAAGCTATGGAATTTTTGCCCATTCTTGCTTCTAAGGTAATCGAAAATGAATCTTATGATACCTTTATTTGTTTTTCACCTGGACAGCCGCTCAACTGAGAATTGTATGTGATTTTGTGAACAGAACTAGGAAATTTTGTTTGCAGACCAAATTTCATATCGTATCGAGATTTTTTTTTTACCTGTAAAAATAGACTACGTGTCTAAAAAATTGCCTTCTTTATTTCTTTACTCAACAAGAGTAGGTACCTATGTGTGTATTTTTTGCCTATTTCTAAGTTCCTTTCAAAGTGATTATGTTGTTTTAGGCAGGTCCTTTGGTCAGTCATGCAATTCAACATGGGACATCCAACGACTGTCTTTCATTCAACTACTTGATAGTAAATTCTCCTTATCATGCATATCATCAGAAAAAATATCTATTTTATAATTTTATTTCGATGAATAATAATCTGGCACATGCCTAATAGCAACACCGTAATACATAGCGAGTTGACAGTTATTAAAGTAACTCGCGTGCAGACTTGTGAGCTTCCAGCGTCGAGTTGACGCGACGAGCGTGTGTCTCGTCCTCGAGACCTCAGGTCTACCAGACTACCAGGGCCCAGGCTACCACCTCCGACCCTCCACCCCTCCAGGGGCCTGCCCTCCCCCGCCCACCTCCTACCACGCCTCCGACGACGTCTCCAAACCACACCGAACTTTTGAGAGCATCTTCTCCAGCCCCGTCACCGCTGCTGGGGGCAACACGGTGAGATCTCCAGTCCCGTCACCGCTGCTGGGGGCAACACGGTGAGATCTCCAGTCCCGTCACCGCTGCTGGGGGCAACACGGTGAGATCTNCATCCAGACCACTCACATCCAGACCACTCACATCCAGACCACTCACATCCAGACCACTTACATCCAGACCACTCACATCCAGACCACTCAAAAGACCGCAGGTAAGTGACAGGCACCCTCCAAGCCTGCCTTTACTTCCATGCTGGAAATATAAACAATATGAAAGTTTTGCGCGACATACTTCATGCTTTGTGAAGTGCAGTGTTGGTATGTGTGAAGTTTTCTTTCATTATATATTCAAGGTTTCTAAAATTGTGAGGATTTGATCTTTTTATCCAGTTTAACGTGTTGTGTTTCCTTATAATTACTGAAACTTTTTACAACGACTGCTCTTCGATTGCGTTTTCTTGTATTTTTGCTCTTCTGAAGCACTGAGAGGTTTTGTGTTCCGAAAGCTGCAGGGTCTGCCTTTGACGGCGGTAGTGAGGTGACGGTAAGATTACTTGTGAAATCTTGTGGAGTTAAGGTTTTTTGTAAACATGACTCCCTTGTCCGGGCCTGTCAGCTGCCGCATCAGCTGAGGCACCGCATATAGGCCTATAGTGATCGTTCGTAAGCTGATTGCGTTGTTTGACTATTGATTCGATAACACTAGATTTACAAAAGGCACTTGTGGGCGTTTCAGTTCATAATTTTATTCACGAAGTAAGTTAACAAGGTTTATACAGTTGGTACAAATTGGTATAACTGAAATTCATCTAGGATTAAAGTTTCTTGATTAAATAGTTCGTAACACTGGACACGTAAAAGGTTAGCGGATCATGGATGCTATAGAAAATCTCCTGTATTCGACGCCACGTGTCTCTTCATACTCACTCTCCGGCTATCCTCCCTACAACCAACAGTTTCCGTTTCCTAATTTGAGAACACAAAACAAGTCCAGATATTCCAGCTTAATGAACCATGTGGAAATGTTTTTTCCAACACCTTCTCTTCCTGTCTTTAATGGTTGTCATATGCTCCTGGCTTCTGACTTGCTGGTTTTTCACTTGTCAGCTTCTCTCGGAACTTAATTCTTGATGGCTCCAATATAATATCATTCTTTTTGCGGACTAAATATGTCCGGGAACCAACTATTGAATAGAATTTTTGATTGATATTTCCATAGACAGGTTTTAATTTGGAAACATGTTGATAATCGTAATCTGTGCGCAGGATAGTGAGTGGTGGACGAGTTTACTGGCCGTGCTGAGCAGAGACGCCGAGCAGCTGCCGCCTGCTAAAGACGATGTCTGCCAGGTCTACCATCACCAGGTATTAATATTGAGGGTATTGCCATATTCAACCGGTATTGCCACCTGGTATTGCCATATACAAACACCCGGCATTGCCATGTACACCAGATATTGCCATATTCACCCGGCATTGCCATGTACACCAGATATTGCCATATACACCCGGCATTGCCATGTGCACCAGGTATTGCCATGTACACCAGGTATTGCCATGTACACCAGGTATTGCCATATTCACCCGGTATTGTCACCAGATTTTTGCCATATTCACCCGGCACTGCCACCTGGTATTGCCATATACACTCGCCACAGAGGCGTCGTTGTATGCGCCTTCACAGGTACGCGCATATGTACCCGTCTTCTTAAACGGGCTTTAGACTTCCTCCCCCCTGCCCCCCTGTATTGAAAAATCACACCTCGCTCTACCTTATTGCATGTAGTGAGGTCTCTATTCTCCTTCCCCATATCAAGTAATCAAGTCATGCCTCCTCTCCCCTAATGCAGGTATGAGGGGGTTTCTCTACTCCTCCTACTAAGACCAAGTAATCAAGTCATGCCTCCTCTCCCCTAATGCAGGTATGAGGGGGTTGCTTTACTCCTCCTACTAAGACCAAGTAATCAAGTCATGCCTCCTCTCCCCTAATGCAGGTATGAGGGGGTTGCTTTACTCCTCCTACTAAGACCAAGTAATCAAGTCATGCCTCCTCTCCCCTAATGCAGGTATGAGGGGGTTGCTTTACTCCTCCTACTAAGACCAAGTAATCAAGTCATGCCTCCTCTCCCCTCATGCAGGTATGAGGGGGTTGCTTTACTCCTCCTACTAAGACCAAGTAATCAAGTCATGCCTCCTCTCCCCTAATGCAGGTATGAGGGGATTGCTTTACTCCTCCTACTAAGACCAAGTAATCAAGTCATGCCTCCTCTCCCCTAATGCAGGTAGGAGGGAGTGTCTCTAATCCTCCTAAGACCAAGTAATCAAGTGATGCCTCCTCTCCCCTAATGCAGGTTGGAGGGAGTGTCTCTAATCCTCCTAAGACCAAGTAATCAAGTGATGCCTCCTCCCCTGCAGAGCGGCTACACGCACTACCTTCGCGCCGTGGAGCCGCTGGTGACGGTGGCCGTGAGCTATGATTGCCACCGCGTCGAGCGCGACGGCGTTCCTGTCAGGACCTTCCTGAGCGACCTCTGCCTGCAGCTCAACTTCACGTCGCTCTTCGCCACACTCAAGCCGAGATAGTCGTCCATTGCTGCTTCAAGTGATGAATAACGGCCGTAGTTTTGTCTTGTAGCAATGACTTGTGTTTTTCTATCGTCTTGGTGTGGGAGAGATCGTTTTCATATGTTAAATGTCCCACAAAATTCTGGAAGTCAAATAATTTTGTTGTATTTTCTTATCAGGCTGTAGAATGTTTTGCAATTATACGAGCCAATGATTTATAGAACTCTCCTAACAATGCTACATGCTAGCCAGTTCCTAGATATAATACAAAAGCTTTCGTACATAACAAGTTGGGACATTACAAGGTAATGTCCCAGAGTATTGAATTCGCGGCTTCTGCACAACAGAATGTATGAATTAATATCTCGGATTTTTGTCTTAGTTACGTATAGAATTGAAATTGTTACGCTGCTATGAAACCTCAAGTCTTCCGAAGCTTCTCATACTTGAACAAGACCTGCGACCATTGATATCTCTTAATAATCTCCCCGTTTTTTGGACAATGCAGAGAAATTCAAGGTTACAAATTCGTCATCAATGTACCGCCACTTCAACCCGTTTCCTAATTGCGTCCTGGTGGTCAACTAGTGTCAAGGGGTCAACTAGTGTGCCCCAGTGTAGCACCTAATTCCCAGTGGTTCCCAGGTGATCAACATATCCTATTTAAGATGATTCGTTCATCTGACCAGAATAAATAATCTTTTCGATGATGCTCGTGTTTTTATAACCTCGTCTCCCAATGATTTTCTATTATGCAAGAGATGGTAAATATATTAGTCAACGTTTAACAGGATAATTCTTTATATTTATTACTTTAGTTTTTCTAGTTATAGGTTATGAAAGCCATTATTATTATTATTATTATTATTATTTTTATACGTTTCAATTATATTATGGAAATGTTAATCATTCTCACTTTGCGCTTGTATGTTATTGTGATGTTATACTGTCACCTTTTCGTTTATATTTGCATCCCACCTCTCATAATTGTGCCACGAGAAAGTTCACTAATCAATTAGTAAAATAGTTAGGAAAAACAAACTCCAATTATATTTTACATCTTGATTACATACGGCGCTTTCCTACGCATTGGTTGCATCCTGACAATCAGAACTGCCTGTAAGTTTTTCTCGTAAGAATGCCAGTTACGTCAGGTATGCGAGAGTTGCAGCTCTCGTGTATGCCTTGTCATTAATTAATTCAGCTCTATACCCAAATGGAAGGCCAAACCTATCTTCATGGGATAGTTGGGGATAAATAATGAATACGTAGTTACTCATCTCTCTACACTGACTTAACATCAGCAACGCCTCAGATAACGTAAGACTAAGTATACGGTCTTGATAGTGGTTTACAGCGTTGTCAGCGTCCGTTAGACCGTTAGACGTGTCGCCGATTCTCAACATCGTAAAACATTCGCAGCCGGTTGCGGTCTCGAACACGCAACTTACTGCTTCAATTTCGCTGTGCTTAATTGTAATCATTGGGCCACCCTGATAGCGGACTTCAATTTCGTCCATTGGGAAATTCAATTTGCAATTATCAATATTTACCGAATAAATATTCGGTATGCGGATGACATACCCATATTTAAATTCTATCGAAGAATCTATGGATGAAGTAGTTTCTTCAATTTTCTGCCTGACCTGAGAACTGAAATGACTAGTTGGTGCGTGTAAAGAATATTGATAACGTTAAACTCAATTCCAATATTGGTTCTCAGCCAACTGTTAAGTGCTTATTGCTCCGAGCGTCAGTGCAGCTGACGATACTATCGAATACGTTAGGAAGATCACGAAATGTACTAGCCTTTGACTTTCAAAATAGACTGGCATATTGACCACCGGGTGATTGCTAAGCAATCATTTGTACGACTGAAGATTGGCTTGGCGCTAACCGACATTTGTGAGAGGCATGGCCAGTAGCTCGACAGCGACGTCGTTGTTAGGACGAAGTTTTTCTTCAAAAACTTGTAGTAAGTATAGCAATTTTTTGTACGTCTAAACAGCCTCAATAATAGAGAATAGAAATTGTTTTTAGGGACGCACGTTCAACTCAAGCTGTAGAAGTTTGCTATTAGGACAATATTATACCAAATTTAATTCTTTTAATAATAGCTAATAACCACATCGCATATCCTTAATTGTGATCGCTACCGTATTGATATTGATATTTTTATTATTATCTATCTAACTTGTGATCCGGCCACAAACTATTTAATGGGAAGTTTCAGTCGTTCTGGCATTATTACTTGTTTCATATTTAATAGGTATTTCAAGTCGGTCGTATATTTTTACATGTTTTTTTATTTAATTGTTATTTTCATTCGGTGGTATATTATTACATGTTTATATTCATAGATATTTTAATTAGTCTGATATCATTACATATTTTAAGCAAATAGGTGGAAACGGACCTATTCTGAGTCAGTTTCCTAATTTTGTAAATTACGGCCAAATAAATTATGGCAATAACTTTCATCACATGATCAAGGTTTAAAAAAAAACATAGTGCGATTTTCTATTGTTGATGCTAATTTTTCTTTTTTCATTCCTCAGCTATTGTGTGTAGCTTCTAATTTTTAAAATAAAACTACGCCATTTTTCACAATCCCCCAGTTTCACAATTAACTTACTTACATAGCTAAGGCTGGTTTCATAGCATCTAATTTTTAGAATAAAACTAAATAGTACGCCATTTTTCACAATCCCCCAGTTTCACAATTAACTTACTTACATAACTAAAGCTGGTTTCATAGCATCTAATTTTTAGAATAAAACTAAATAGTACGCCATTTTTCACAATCCCCCAGTTTCACAATTAACTTACTTACATAACTGAAGCTAAGGTTAGTTTCATAGCAAATTAACAGTCGTTAGAACTTATCATCTTCATTTACATTCGCTCGCCCCAGCTTCATGAACTTGTCGAGTTTGGCGCGCCTGATGAGGCGTCTCAGCGTCGCGCTGCTGCTAGCGCCCGTGGCCGAACTTGTGCAGCACGCGGCGCTCTCTGCCAGATCTCTGGGTGGGTAGCTCTGGGTGGGTATCTCTGGGTGGTATCTCTGGGTGGGTATCTCTGGGTGATATCTCTGGGTGGTATCTCTTGGTGGGTATCTCTGGGTGGTATCTCTGGGTGGGTATCTCTGGGTGGTATCTCTGGGTGGTATCTCTGGGTGGGTATCTCTAGGTGGGTTCTAGGTGAGTATCTGTGAGCGAATCTCTCTGAGTGACTCTCTCTGGGCGAGTCTACTGATCTCTGAATGATTGTCCTAACTTCTTGGGGAGAGACCACTGATCTCTGATGAGTCTCCTGATCCCGAGTGGCTGTGTCTGGGTGTCTGCTAAAAATATCATGTATATTTAATTATGTGGTTATCAAAAAGGCCGTTACAAAATTCTTTCTACGTACCTGTAAAGTATGCAAAATTCAATACAATTTAAAAAAATTATTCTGCAGGAAGGTAATACCATGCATGTACAGCCCGTACGTGATACTGAATTTCGGGACATTGACCATTAATATTTGAACAAACATATTATATAAACTGAACATATAAAGTGATTAAAATTATACAATTTCATTAGAAATTAATATCATAATGGAAGATCTAATCTCAATATATTTGAAACGAGCTTTTTTCGACAAATGATATTTGCATGTGCCGTTTATGTAATGTCTTATTTCCCCGAATGTATTCCAAAACATAATTATTTCTTTTACTTGTGGATACATTTCCGACCATATCGCGATCACAAGACAATAAATTATACTCTTGGAAACGTATAGGGATACGAAGGTGAAAATGATTGTGAAGCCACGCAAAATATGTTGAACGTTTTCCGAAACGTCTTCTTAAGAAATGGTGAATTTCCTGGCTACTTTCTTTGCTTTTAAATTTTTGAAAATATGTTATATTATGGTGATATTAAATTGAGGCTAAACGTCGCAGGGTCAGGGCAGCGCTTCTCAGGAACTCCTCTGCTGACCACGACGGCCGAGAGCGCGGCGCTCTGCCTGCGCCGGTGCATGGACGTGGCGCAGTGTGCCGGCCTCAGCTTCAACGGTGACGTATTGAAACGCGCGACGTAATCAACAGTCCTTGAATCAATAGTCTTTGATGTGTTGAAACGCGCGATGTAATCAACAGTTCTTGAATAAACAGTCCTTGATGTGTTGAAACGCGCGCATGTAATCAACAGTCCTTGATGTGTTGAAGCGCGCGATGTAATCAACAGTCCTTGATGTGTTGAAACGCGCGCATGTAATCAACAGGCCTTGATGTGTTGAAACGCGCGCATGTAATCAACAGGCCTTGATGTGTTGAAGCGCGCGATGTAATCAACAGTCCTTGAATCAACAGTCCTTGATGGGTTGAAACGCGCGCATGTCATTAACAGGCCTTGATGTGGACAAAACTTTGAGGAACGAGCTGATAAATGAAGATATAGGCAAGCAAAACAAGAATGGACTGGAGGCTAAAGAAATCTTTTCTTTATTTAAAAAGTTTCAAGATGGTATAAATAGCCATCAATTCCACGAGATAGTTAGTTTGGTGCTGCCTAATTTTGGTAGCGGCTCCTCTTCAATAAGCGTGAAGAGGCAAAGGAGCCGCAACTCGCTCCTGCGTCTGCCCAACCCGAAAATTCTGAAGAAAAGGAAACGGTGATCAGGCAAGGCACAAAGTTCAGCTCAAAGTAGGCGAAAAAACGCTCGATGCAATAAAAGGTCTTAAATGACAAAGTTTGCAATCGTAGCAAAAGTAGGTCGAGCTGGTGCAACTTGCTGCCACACGTTCCGAGTAAGAGCAATCTTTATTATTGGATAATCATGAATGAAGTCTTAAAATTACCAATAAATATTAGAGTATGGATAATTACGGGCTTTATTATTTATTCGGGTTTCAAGTGAAAAGGAACAGGATTTAACACCTCATCACCGCTTGCTCCGTGCCTACGAAGATAGGGTGACGTACCTGAAGTGCTAAAAAATCCTTCGGTGAATCGCTGGTGAGGTGCCGGTTCTTGGAGCTGATCCACGCCCGCGCAGAGGTAAGAAGCCGGGGTCAAGGTAGTGGTCGCATCCAAAACGTCAGGTGTACCATCGAGGTAAGTCGTAGCGCAGACGACATCCACTTCAGCACGTGCCCACGCATGCGTCCAAAGTCCCGACCGAGCTCAAGCTAAGCTTCCATGGGTTGCTTTAATCCATAGTTTCCAAGGTGAACAGGAGCCAAAGATTCTTGAAAAGGTTAGTCCACACCATCTGACTTGAAGCGTAGACAGGAGAGTTTCAAAATGAATCTGGCCCAAAACAGCACCTTAGGAGTTGCTGCTGTGAGGTCAGGCAACGAACTGGCACAAATTCTTCAGAGAAAGTGAAGTTAAGTATTGGGCGAGATGTTAGTTTCAAGTGGAATGTGCACATTAAAACTACTTCAAACGTCACCCAAATCATTTGTGGCACAGAGCAGGTGAGGATGGAAAATTTATGCCCGAAATTTATCAAACATTAAATTAATGAAAACTAAATCATAGTTTTTTGATCACTCCCGGCAAGGGGATCNCACGACGTAATGAAACGCTCGACGTATTGAAACGCACGACGTAATGAAACGCTCGACGTATTGAAACACACGACGTAATGAAACGCTCGACGTATTGAAACACACAACGTAATGAAACGCACGACGTATTGAAACGCTCGACGT